GTAATCTTCTGCATTTCATCCTCACGTCAGCGTGACATCCTACATAGGAGATATATTACAGTTAAAGAAGAATATTAATAACTGATATGAAAATTGAAACAAGATAAGCTCATTGTGGATTTCAACGAGGCCGAGAAAAACCTTACTTTTCTTTCACCGCCGGTGTTGGTCCTGACTTCCGGCACCGGCTCCACACTCATGGCCAAGAAAATGTCTTCTCCCTTGAAGTTTTCTCCTACGAAATTTCTTCCACCGGCTCTGCCTCGCTCAATGGTTGTGAGGTGGGTCTCGCTTCCCCCTCCTGAACCGCCGCCGCCGCTCGAGTCCCTTTCAAATCTGTTGGAAACAGACCAAACCTCCGTCGGTTACCCCAACGAGACACTTCCGGGCCTTCTCGGCCTTGGTAATCTGCGACCCTCTCTGCCAGTATCCATAGATTCCGGCGAGTCCTCTACCTGTGTGGTCCTCAACTTCGGACAAACGACCCACTCGCCGGTGACGCCTTCAGATCTGCAACAGATGTTGCGTCATTCTCAAAACCTAGATCCGAGCTTAGACGATTCGACAAGGCTCTTCACCGACGCCGGTGGCTGGTCCCTAAGTAAAGCTTCGGGTGGCTGCTCTTCAACGTCCCCGTCGTGGGTCGCCGACCAGCCAACACGGCAGCTACTTCTCAGCCACCCCAGCCCCCGAAAACCCTACAGCCCTCTCAACTTTGATCAAATATGGGCATGGCCCAAGATAAGTTTTGGGCCTCCAATTCCAAAAAGGCCTAACCCATCAAGTCCCATGTTTTTACAAAGAGGGGTCGGGTGTTCTGATCGTTTAACTCTTCCGCCGGATAGGGGATATCCCCCACCACCGCCCTCCTCACCCTCAATTGGGCTCCTCCATACGATCGAATCACAACCTCGCCGCTAGCCTTGGCTCCGGCGAGATATCGGAAGTCAAAGCTTCTCCTACGGCCGCCCACTTCGAGTTTCACCGTACAAGTAACGGGTCGAGATTCGTTTTCCGGTGTGCCATCTTCTGGAATTCTCTCCGGTGACGTGCTTACAAGCAATACACTGTTTCGGGTCAGTGCTATACCTTCGGGAGTGGTTCGCCTTCAGCATCTCCAGGTGAGTTTTAACTCGTGCTCATACTCTCCTTCAACCTTAACTTTGGATGTGTATGACACTTTGTTAGGGCTAGTACCGAAACTGGGTTCACACTCTCCATCGATTTTACTTTTGGATGTATGTGATACCATATCGGGTTTATTAACGGAATTGTGTTCATTCTCCCCATTGATCTTACGTTTGGGTGTGTATGACACCTTTTTGGTTAGCTTTTGGAAGTTGTCACTCGACAGTTACTTCGCCCTATGCTGGTAGTGTGTTTTGGTTACAAATTTCAGAATTATCACTTGTTAGAAACTCCGATTACTGCTACTCTTCATTCTTTTGGGCCCAACTTCATCTTTCGTGGCTCCCTAGCTTGGCCACCGTCGTCGTGTCGCGCGGTCTTTTACGGGAATGGAAGAACTCTATACAGATGACTCGCTCTCTGTACTCTTTAAAGGCTCAACGCTTATAAGTGTAGCCGATTTCAAGATTGTTAGTTCACAGGTTGTGTTCTTAATCTCTCACTGCGTCATTCCACTGCTTAGGCTTTATGTTATCGAGATTGGACTTCTCCACGACGTTGGGTGCTTAAGTATAATGACTGTTTCTATTTTATGTTTGTGTGATTTTCGCTTGCCTCTTGTAGCAGCGATTGTAGTTGGTTTGATGACTTTATTATCATCTGTTGTAAACATTTCCTCCTTTAACGGAGAGTAAGCATCAATATAACTAGTTTGTTTG